TAAATATATACCCACAAATGTTTATGTGTGCTATATTTATTGCTGCTCATTGTTAGAATTCTATAAAAATATTTTTGAATTTTATCAAAAAAAATCACAATGTCCAACTGATGATTTTTTTTTTCAAATTGGCTTATATCACTCACTTATACACACTTTCAAATACACATATAGATTATTGTGCAAAATATTATATTCTAAGTTGGAAAATTACTCCAATAAGTGGTTCAACAATTCTGTTCATATATAGAAAGTTGTGGTAGTGCTAAAGGTTTTCAATATTAGCTTTGGGCAGCTTCTTCTTAAACTAATGATAGAAAATAAAAAATATATATGTGTAAAATTTATATATCATTCTCAATTATGTTTAACGATCAGTTTTAACTGAAAAGTCATTAACTAGAAAATTTAAACTATCTATTAATCCGAGTAAGCCAATTTATATCGATACTTTATTCCGCAGACATTTACTGTGTCTATTCTAAAGTCTACCCAAAAGACTTCGTGAGAAAATATCGACTGCCTTTGCATTTTTCCTATAGCAATAAATGTATGTTTTCCCAAAGGTATACTATACACCCAGTGCACTTGTCACGGTAAAAAAGTCCCACAACTAAGAAAATCGCCCCGTTTGATGGCACTAGCAAAGCCTTGCTAAGTGGTTAATCATCCCCCTTGACTCATAAATCTGTTAACTGGGTATCCCTTCTTCTATTTATATTTTTTGTCACCGATATATTAAAGGGATTGAAACTAATATAGAGAAGCTGCTAAATTGACAGTGAAAATCGTATTTTATTATTCTCAGAAACGAGGTAATGGAACGAAAACATATCCTAAAATATTATTTTTCTACGAAAAGTTCCTAATTCACAATTCTTGATGATTGAGTCTCAGGGCAAACTTAGATTTTAAATTCGATGAAAATATAAATATAATTATTTTTAAATGGGGATAATTATTTTTATTCAAATTAGTATTAAAATTGCAATTTTCTAAATGTTGTAAAAATTTAGTAAAATTACGAATATTGTAGATCTAGATTTAAACAGAAATATCTATATTTTTCTTGTTGTATTCTGGAAAGTTATCGCATTTGATTGATGTCCCTCAGAATAGAGCAAGACAATGATGAATGCACTCCCAAAAGCACGTGTCGCAGACACAATGCAATCCTTAGAGCTTTCGAGCTTTCGGTTCAGGTGCAGGCAAACTCTAGTGATTAATCGTGCAACAAAATGGAGCATTGGTATATAATGATCGACTAAATAATTATCGTAATTAGCGACTGAAAGTTTGCCAAATTTTATAATACAACATTATAATTGGCAGCATCTTGGTTATACATAAAAGTTTATTGTATCATACATTTTTAATGATTTATTGCCAGAAAACTTATTTTTAAAAATAATTATCAACTTCCCGTAGGGTAAGTTATTGTAATGGGCCGAAAATCGAAATTGAAAATTTTTACATTTCTCGACGTTTTGAAGGTTTCTGAACATTTTGGTATACCTCAGAAAAAATGAATGTGTGTGTGTATGTATGTATGGATACAAATTTCCAGTCACGTTTTCGGGCGCACGGAACAACCGATTTGAATGGTTCAAAAAACATTCGATTCCTGTCTTTAGGGAGAAGAACTGATTAGTTTTTGGCAAAGGCAGGTCCAGCCGTTTCGGGGATACGGAGCAAAGAGTGCAGAAAATAGAGTTTTTAAGTGAACGGAGCATCCGATTTGAATGATCTAAAAACATTCAATTAGTAATGATTGGGAGAAGTGATTATTAGTTTTTGACAATGGCAGGCCCAGCCATTTCGAAGATACAGAGCTAAATGTGCAAAAAATGGCAGTTTTTGAGAGAACTAAGCATCCAACTTAAATGATTCAAAGAACTTTCAGCTTGTTTTAACAAATTAATTGATTTTGGAAAAAAATTGTATTATTTTTTTTTTTAGTTTTTTTAATTTTTTTTAGTTTTTTTTGTATTTCGAAAATAATTCAGATTTTATTTTTAATTCTGACTATAGTTCTAATATACTTTAAACAAATAATTTTAACTTTGCAATTCAGCATATATAATTCTTATAAATATTAGACAATGTTACAATATTAATAATAATCTATTTGAAAACATTCAGTATTACACGAGAAGTACAAGGTACAAGAAGTTCCTGCAATTTGCCTTAAGGCACGATGCCATACACCCCACTAGTTTATAAAAATAATTATATCCTATAATTTCATTGTATTTACAGAGATGTTCAGTAGTTTTTATTACATTTCTATAAATTCATGTAATTAAATATTTGGGCCTTCTGATCATAACAAAAAAAATTATCAAGCAAAAGTTCAATTTGAATTTCAGTAATTATACTGTCTATACCAAGTAAACTACATCACAACATGACTTTATATCTTAAATACTGAATATGTATTTTAGAATTATATATTTTAAATACTGAATATATATTTCCTGAATATAAATTCATCACAAACCTTTCCATTTTAGAATGTTGATATATTATCAACATCAAAACGTACATACATATCCAGTATCCACCATTTCCAGTAGGTACTCATAGAATATAAATTTCTCCTGTCTCGCGAAGCACAATTTGAATTTATTAATTCCCAGAAGAGGACCAACCTTTAAATGTTAGGGCAATAAAACATCTTTGTTTCACTTTAACACGCCATAACTCACGCGACCACCCGGCACCACCTAGCGAAAAACGACTCGGTCTCGGTTGGAGGGTTGGAGGGTAAGGGCTGGGTTGGCTGTTAAGGGCGGTTGCTACGTGCGAAAATGTATAAAATTAATATTCATATAACAAAAATTATGTTATATATTTAAAATAGAAAAGATAGAAGATCATTTGCATTAATGTCACAAATATTTCTAAATATTTATTATGCATATGATATTAAAATTAAATATAAAATAATTTTTATTTTTTTATTTATATATTTACATGGCTTCAACCTTACATAGCACATTACAATAATTTATAATGCTAATTATAACTAAGTATATATCTAAACTTAACTATATACATATCGATACATATATATACATACACACATGCACATATATATTTATATATACACATACACTTACATATACACACAGCTGTCAATACAGTGAAACTTAAATTTTTATTTTGCATTTACTAATAAAGTTCATAACGATTTTATATATTTCTATATTATTTGAAGCGACTAATATGAATGTATTTATTGGAAATGATATCCCCTTTTCACTCAGAGATTTAGGTTAATGGGTTAATATAAAATAATAAAATCATTATTTTTTTATTGTAAAAGGTAGAGCGAGCCTTGAAGATCCGCGGCTAAAAAGATCCACCACTAATATCTCAAAAACAAGTAAAATTAGGAATTTTTACTAACAATATTTGAAAGTAGAGTGCAAAAGATGTATAACCGGCCACCATCATGATTCTTACGACGTTGCTGTCGAGAGATGAACGGCAATATTTGAAAATTTATAACAATAGTGTTTTCCTTTGTTAGTTTTTTGGGTGATGAGCACTGTTGTTTAGTTTATAAGATCTTAATTAATTTTTTATATATACGCTATATTATTATTTTATAAGATGTATCATTAATTTTAAGTTAGATTCAACAACTTTTTCATATAACCTCTATAAAAGCTTACACCTATGTGGGGTAAAAAGTTTCAACTGAACCTTTACTCTGCAAAAGTACAAAAAATAAAAAATAGTAAATAATAAAGTAAATTATGTTAAAAAAAGTATTTTCAAGTAAGTTAAACCAAATAAATAGTTATTCCAACTCTGCTGATGAATATTTTTGACAAAATACCAAATCAAGGTTATTTACAATGTTATCTTTGTAAAAAATGATCTTATTAAGTTTAAATTAAGCATTGTTTGAATAATGTAGCAACTATTTTGTAAAATCTCTTTGAAATTAGAATAAGACATCAGACCTGTTTACATTTTGACCGTCCCAATTTACCCCGCCTCTGGGTTAAAATGGCCCAGGTTACAAATTTTTGAAAAAGGAACAAAAAAATCAAATTTTTGCAATGATGATCGATGATGGTCGAGCGTTTTACTGAATCTAGTCAGGTAGTAGTTTGTTTGATATGTGTTATTTGATGTAATATAATTGGTTTGGTTTTTACAATATAATTGCTCAAAGTCAAATTGGTACCATCAAACCCCATTATGATTTTGTAGACATATATATATATATATATATATATATATATATATATATATATATATATATATAATTAGAATCAATTCAGCAGAGTACGAATTTATTAACAGAGTTACTTATTAAGCAATAGATATTAAATCTTCAAAAAAACACGTGCATAATAGCCCTATAAACAAATTAGCCAAAATAGTCAACGAATATTGCGGAAGTTTGAACTACTTCGATACTCGTCAAAATGTTTTTGAGACCAACATACAAAAAAATTCCTGAATATAAATTCCTATACAATAATATCTATACAAATAATATGTGCTATTAATTATTATTACAAATAATATGTGCCAAAGTATTATGTTACCAAAGCATAAAGTGTACGTATATTTTTTATATTATATGTTAGTACTCAAATTTAATATTAGTAGACTTTTGAGTTGTAAAATTATTGGTGTAATGTTATGAATTTACTGTGCATAGCTGATTGGCTCTAGTTTTTAGAACCAGAACAAAATGTAATAGAATTGAGTCTATTTTTGTTGTTTATTTGTTGACTTTGTATACACAGACATTAGTTATATATATATTTTATAAATTATCTTTACACTTTTATTTTATTTAATTGTATATAATTATGTCTTATAACTGAATCTTATGTAGCCCTTAAATTTAAAATAGTAAAACTGTAAATCTGTTTTAAATTCTGCCTTCTTAATACTTATTAATTTTTTATCTTATATCGAATTTCAAAATTTTAAACAATATTGACATCTCTGCATTCTCTTACTTAGACGAACTGCTTCGCCCATTCCTCTCGCCTGGAATGATGGTACCCAACAATATGCTATCGTCGGCTCGATGACTCCCAGCGGAGACACAAGCCCGGCTCGATTGTCCCCTACGAGGGTAGCAAATGGCAAGGCGAAAGCTCGCTCATTAAGCTCGGGATGAGAAGTGAAAACTGAAAATTGAAAACTTAGAGAGGAGGTAAAGTGTTATTGTTTCTTATAGTAATAATAATTCTCAAATTAATCCTGTAATGGGATTATTAAGGATAATCATAGTTATCATTTGCGCCAAAAATTATAAATGATTTCATATTTTTTATGGATATACTCATATCATATTTATGACACATATAGTTATATTTTACTAATATTATAAATATATATTTATTAATTTTAAATACAAAAATTTAAAAGTCCTTTATCCTGTCAACTGTCTCTGGTATTACTCCGCATAGACAAACAAGTATAAGATTCAACTCAATCGAGTTAATCTTATATATAAAAATTATTCGCAAAATGTGTTGGTAAGCGCATAACTCTACAACGTCTAGACCAATTTGGCCAATTCTTTTTTTAAAATGTTCATTGAAGTCCAAGGATGGTTCTTACGGCGAGAAAAAATCGAATAATTGCCGGGAAATCCCTAAAAACAACCCTTTACTTTTTTACATACAAACATTAGTATTTTCATATTTTTGCCATCGGATACGGAATATTTACTCAAGTTAATGGAGCGCTTTGGTTCTGATTTTTTTTACTGTGCTCCAATTCGTATGAAATTTTGATATTAGGTTTATCTTACTCTCAAGTTTAAAAGTGAAAATAATTTAGACTCCTTTGACATTTCCCGGTCAGTGATGTAATTTAATTTTTTTTTTCTAATAACGTCATATATCGATAAGAAAACTAATTTTAAGAAAAAATGTTTTATAATGATTTTCAAAAAAACCAATACTCATCATTTCATTTAAAGCAGTTGTACATTTAAGATCCATATAGGTGGATGTATATACATTTTGGTATAGACTGTAATGTAAAAAAACATAATAATTTTTAACCAATTGGTAAATATCAGTGTAGATTATAAACAAAAATTTGAACTTTTAAATTGTAAACATAAGTACAGGACAACGTCTGTCGGGTCATCTAGTTAATAATACAATGTTCTATTTGATACTGCAGATAATTTTTGTAGATTGAGAGGTATATAACAATCACGTATTGGATATATAGTGCAGTAAACGGAGAGGAAAAAATGGTATAACATGTGAATTTTTTCACTGTGCTTCGATTTGTATGAAATTTTGAAATTAGGTTCATTTTATCTAATTTTTCGGTTGGGACCCCTTAATGAATAAGAGCTATTTTATCGAAAACGTTTTTATAATTAAAGAATACAATTAAAAAGTATTTTTAATGCATTTACCGTGCAATAAAATCATTTTCAACCCCGTGAAAACCCTAAATTCCTTCAAACAACCTCTAAATTGAAAAAAAACTTAAAAATAAATTTGGGTATGATATAATAAAAATTACGTATATAGTAAATAATATTTTATATTCTCTATCTTGATTATCAAATTTTTAACCCGTTTTAGAACCTTAAAAAAAACATTTGATGAAAAATTGTTTGAAAAAATTATTTTGAAATTGAAAGAAAATTAAGGGCGACGAGTCTCCGGTTGACGGAGACTCCGGGCGACTGGGACTCCGGTAAATTTTTATTCCAATTTTTATTATTCTTTATCATGTTTCTTTTCGGCAATTATTATACTTATCAAAATAAGGTTCTTTTAATTTAATAATCATTTTATATAATTTTTATACAAATCAATTATCCTAATAACAATGTTTTAAATAACACACTGGTTTGCCCTTGGCATAATTGCATAGTACAGTTATAAGACTAATGCATCCTTTGCAATTAATTCTACGATAAATAATATTATTTTAAATCCTATGTACATATTAAAATGTTGACAGTGATATCTTGATTTTAATAGTATACTCGGGATTGAATTTATTTTTCTTCCTCAATTAGAGTAAAGGATCAATTGCATAACATAATTACAAATAGTAATTAATATAGTAATGCAAATTTAATACATTTACAATAATGTTCAGTATTTACTCAATGAGATTATATGTCGTAAAATTTATTGCTAAAATTTTCAAAATTATTTGAAATCCGTGTAGGTAGAAGATTTATGGGGAAAAAGCAAACATATTTTCTTTTTTCACCCTGGCTCGTACCTTAATCATGAATTTCATTATTTATTTATGTTTCAATCTGTCGGTAATTCGGGAAAACTAATGCGAAAAACTTGATCAGAACCCGAAAAGTTAACAGAAAATTGTATATTTTTGTAAAATTAAAGCGTGGTAGTATTTTAAAGGTGTCGGATTTGTTTCTAACTAAAACGTTTATGATACATCGGCAATTTTCTTATTCATGACGTATTGTTTTATATAGACATACTCGTTGTATATATTATTTTTAACTTCCAGTAGGGTAGTTATAGTAATGGGCCGAAAATCGAAAATGAAAATTATTGCATTTCTCGGCGTTTTGAAGGTTTTTGAACATTTTGGAATACCTCAGAAAATATGGATGTGTATGTGTGTGTGTTTTGTATATCCGCAGTTTTTCGTCCACGTTTTCGGGCGCACGGATGAACCGATTTGATCCATTACAGCTAGTTTATCCCTTATCTGCCGGTGATAGGAACTGCAAAATCGTTCATTTCTCATAAGTATCTACTATTTCTTGAGCAAAAAACGCGGAAAAATGATTCAATGTCAAGTTCGTCTCGTAACACGCGGCTGCTAGGAAGAAATATCGAAGTGAGTCGACAATTGACAATCGAACTATTATACGGCGTGACCGCAGGAAGAGCCTCGCATCGGAGCGATCATGTCGAACGACTGAATTAGAATTGTTTTAAATCAACATAATGAAAAAACAAACTAACAAATAAAATTGCATGCTTTCCCTGCACGATTTCGTTTTTGCAACCGTGTTGCGGTTTCATCCAGTCATCTTCCTAATGAAAGGAAAATTCTGTGCACAAGGTGAGGAATGGTAACAGAACAGCATCATTTGTAGGAAAAGTCTGAATTTGTTTAAAACAATTCTTTTAATAATATTTCTTGTATGTATACCTAAAACTAATCAACCCTTGTTCTTATCGAGTTCATATGGTTTTTCAATTTTTGAAACTGGTTTAGCCACTTTTGAGGAAACGCCGAAGTATGGTCAATAGATCCCAGATCGGCCTTTGTGAAAAGTGTGAAAATTTTTGATCACATTTCAGTTCACAATCTCGAATTTTGAAAATTCAAAAATCATTCGAAAGATATTGGTTGGGAATCGCTTTGATTAGTTTCTGGTGAAGATCATCCAGGGATCCGTTTTCTTCATTGGTAAATATTGAAAAAAAAATATTTTCGTTTGACGATTTTGATAAAACTTTGTATAACTAAAGCTTTCATAGTCTGCAATAACGTACTAAAATATTATAGGTCCACGATAAGCGGTTGAATTATGAAAATTCATCAAAATTTGAATTTGCGTCATATATTCTATGTTTTCTGTCTATATGTGAGTTTCGCGTTTTTTTATTAAAATTCCACTTATTTAAATGGCCATTTTATGTCTAATCAAGTTGATTAAAACAATATTTTATTATAAAAATGTAAGAATTAATTCATCAATGTAACAATAAATGATGTACATCTATTACATAAGAGTTTAATGATTTATGGAAAAACGTTTATAAACCTAATATGTCCATTCCATTGCTAATGCAATAATTGTACAATTACTAATAACAGTCGTGGAAAATTGAGACATAATAGAACAGAGTTCTTAGAATGCGAGCTAAGTTTTTTTTTATTTTCCAATAATATAAAATAAATTGAAATTTAAATTTTTATTTTTATATTTTCATTTTTTTTTTTAAATATTTTGTATATTTTTGTTTGTAAATCAGCCATAAATATTTATCAATAAAAGTTTATGTTCATCAAAAAATATTGGCAATTAGCAAAAATCATCAGTAAAACTATAGTAACATATCATCATTAAGCAAATAATAATTTAAATTTAATCATTAAATCGCAACTCGATGATATTTATTTAATTAAAAAAAACATCTAAATCAGCAGGTTGAAAAAATCAATAATAAAATATAAAATATCAGTATTGATGCAATCCAAATACAAGTATTAGTGGGCAATTCAATTGTAGTAAAATAATTTACTACATTTTATTCGTGTTAAATCAGATCAAAAAATTTTTTACTTACTATTAATTTATCAATTCATTTAATAATAAATTTACCAGCTATCTTTCTAATATTGTGTATGAATAATCACATAATATTGTCATAGTTTCGCATCACACGCGCATTTTATTCAGTAATTAAGTTTTGCTAATGAAGCAAAATGCCCTTCAACTTGATCTTGAAGTATTAAAAATTATAAAAACTGACTATTTACTTAATATAGAGAAAATAATCAATCGAAGTGATAAATAGTAATATTCATAAACACCAATCAATATTGAGATATTATTATATAAATTAAATTTTGATTCTAATCTTAAGTGCTTGAACGTGTATTTAAAATTTTACTTACATAAAATTAATTTTGAAGTAAACTTCTGAGGGTTGTAAATGCTACATTAATGCAACTATTTTTTTATAATTAATATGTTAAAGTTCAACTGCAAGAATAAAAAACAGTAATATTTTATAAATGTTTCACTTTCAATAATATCAGGACAATTTTATGTTACTTATAATAATTAAAAATTAGCAGTTTCATTAATACTTGTATGATCCGCATGAATATATTTGTGAACCTACTACTGTGAAATTCTGAAAATAATTTTGATATGTAAAAAATGCACAGTATTTAATGAAAATTTCTGAAAAAAATGAATTCATTCAAGTCTAATAATTCGAAAAAAAAGTAGATGATTAATTTAGTTGGTGATGAAATAAAGAAGCTTTCATAATCGTTTACTCAGAGCTTTCATGAATTTGCGATAAGCCAACAAATGCACTTACCATTACCTGCATCGAATATCCATTTAATTTAGGTGATAGTTGTATTTTTTGCCAATTATATACAAATCAGTATTCTTTGTCTCCAACAATCAAGGTCAATAATTATCAATTGGTTATAAATACAGGCCTAACACTTTACACGACTAGTAGTCTGCAACTGAGCAGCAAAGTTGTGAAGTGAAAAGTTTTAGTACCCCCTTCAGCAAAAAATCAGTTAAATGTAAGTAGTGATAATATTTTTTTATATTGACAATTATGTTTTATTATATACATATAAAATCAAATTTTTGTAAAATATTTTTGATATAGTGCCTTAATTTATATATCGTTTAGCAACATTCTGTCGTATTTCACCCGAAAAGATACACTATTTTGATTCTTGTGATAAGAAGAACATTTTCTTATAATTATTGAATTTTTAATATATTTTGAATGTTTTACCCTTTTATGTGAAAATTTATTTTAAATTATGATTTTGTTGTGAATATTAATTTACTTTTATTTTTATATTTTTGTTAAATTTGTTAAAAAAAAACATGTGAAAATAATATTGAAAATGTTCATGATTAATTTACATATCTGATTTAAAAACAATTAATGTGGTAACTATTTGTTGCTTTTTGGACTCTACTATTAAAATTCTAAATTAATGAAAAAATAATTCAGATATACACAATAATCGGATACTATTTTATTTATTTATTTTTTTACCATTTCTTTCCAATTTTTGGATTGCCCCGTCAATCAACCATCAGGTATTTCAATTATAATTTCTTCTTAATGTGTTTCATGCAAATTAGTAGTCATAATCATTACATAACTATAATTTACAGCATAATATTTTAGAAAGTACAATAGGACAGTGGTCATCGATAAGAATTTTGAGGAAAGTTATTATATTGCTAACGATCATCTTCTAAGATTGTCAAACATTTGATAAGAAATTTAAATAAGTGAAATGGTTGTATAAATCATAGTACGGATTGTGAATTTTGATAGACAATTTCTGGCAGATTGCCTTTGGAAAGTTTCTAATGTATAGATGAATTTGTATGTGAAATTTCTTTGAACTTTGTTAGGGATGTCTAGGAAGAAATAAGGACCATTGACCGATATGTAGAAGAACATTCAAAAATATAGTCGTATTGTTTTTTTTATTGTTTATGTATCAAATTTGAACTATGTTATTGATTAAAAATAAATTAAATTCAATTACGATTTGTGAATTATGCTTTCCGGAAGAAGACCCGGAAGATTTAAAAGCGGTTGGACGACATTGTCAATAACTGGATAAGATTCTTTTATAAATAATTTTAAAATTTCGCGTGTCCAGCAATTGAGAATCATTTATCCATGGTATCATCTCTCTTCTCAAATCCCATCAATCGAATGTAATGTCTCTACTTTCTCCGTAAACAACAAGTTTGCATGAATTTGACATAAGTCTTGCACGACAGTCTGATCGCGGACAACGTTCGGTAAAGTGCGGTAAATAAATTAAAAATAATATAGTAATTGGTGAATAAATCGGTATGTAAATATTTTCATAAATTAATAATAATAGAATATAATATTTATAGTTCATCAAATTTTAGCAAAGTATATACTCCTGTTAAATAAATTTATTTGAATTTTCCGACGATTTCCCAGCGATCATAAAACAGCAAATCGTTCAATATCATCTGGGCAAATAATTTGAATTTTGTAAGAAATGTTTTTAATTTAAATATAAAAAAAATATTCACTTTATGAGCTATTATTGATACAAAAAAAAATCTTGTACTTTGTAAGTTACTCGTATTTAACAAATAAACGATCATTTAAAAAATGGATATTTCTTAATAGGTTGCACATTAGGTACTAGAAATTAGTAAAACATTTTGGTGAAATATATACTATATTTATGCGACATAGAAAATCATTTAATAATGAAAAATGAAAAATTTTAGTTTAATTATGAAGTTACAAATATTTTTTTATATTTTATAATAAGCAGTTTTACCATCGAGGGAAATTTATAGTTTGCACATTAGGTAATAAAAATTAGTAAAACATTTTGGTGAAATATATATTATATTATTGTTGATTATTTAGAAAATACAAAGAAAATAATTTAATAGTAAAAAATCCAAAATTTTAATTTATAATAAAATATGAAGTTCCAAATAATTCCCTATATTTTCAGCAGCAGTTTCACAATTGACGGTTTGTTTAATATTAAAAAATCAATCTCAACTTCTTTTTTCAACTAACTATTTAATTCAAATATTAATTTTAGTATGAGTCTATTCATTAAATACATATCGTTAAGTTGAAAATTATTTTAGAAGTATTTTATTATTACTGCTGGTAAGATTTTTTGTTTATAGATGTATAGAGTTTCCATGAATTTTATCACAATTATTGTATTGTTTTAAAATAATGAAGGTAAATTTAAAAAGCAAATACGTATATAAATTCGCAAAACTCTTGTATAGTATTAGCAGTTAGTATACCACAAATTCTTTGTTATTGTCAATATGTAATTGACCTAAAATTTTATATTTTGCCGTTTAAATTTTCACACGTGTTGTTTGCAGAATCATATTTTAACTGTTTTTACCATTGTCGAAACAGAAAACTATTTTGCTTTAAATTTTAATAATATAATATTATACAAAAAATTATAATAATTAAACGTGGGAGCTTTTGCATATATCAAAAACATAACTAGAATATTCTTTATTTTATTCTAAAATTTCGCTTTATATTTAAATAGATATAATTTATCAATACTCAAATATTGAAAAAGTACTTTGCTTTAATAAATTATTAAAAATTGTCATTGGTAACTTACTAATTTTATAAAATTAACGGCAAATATAATATAAAATTATTTCATCGATTAAATATTATTAAAAATTATGAACTAATATAAACGAAAAATACTATAAATTGTGATATTAATATTATAAATTATTTTTTTCAGTTTTTTAACGTGATGGACGCCCAGCAGTTCCGGGAGTTCGCAAAGGCGACCGTTGATTACATAGCCGATTATATGGAAACACTTAGAGACAGGTAACAGATTTAACAATTAATGATACTCTTAACTAATTAATAATTATATATTGTATTAAACAATAGGTATATGTCAATATTAATTCATTTATTAGTTAAATGTGATCATGGGTTATAGATAGAGTCTATAATTGTCTAATAAAATCTTGTCGTAAACAAATTCTTAATAAGGATGATAATTTATCAACAAATAAAATTCATTATGAATAATAAAGTTATGATTATTATTAATATATAAGTTATTACAAGAATCTTATTTTTTCAGGCCAGTTCTTCCTGGTATATCCCCAGGATACTTGCACCATCTCTTACCGAGCGAGGCTCCTGAATCCAGCGAAGATTGGCATGATATTCTGAAAGATATGGACCGAGTAATTATGCCTGGTGTCACCCATTGGGCTTCTCCTCAATTTCATGCCTATTATCCAACAGCCAATTCATATCCTGCAATTGTTGGAGAAATGCTTTCTGCGGGACTTGGGTCAATCGGATTCAGTTGGGTGAGTAAAACCTAGTTTGAGAAAATATTTTTTATTGCTCTGGTTGTGGAATTTTAATTATTTTTGTGTATACCCTAGATTTCAAGTCCTGCGTGTACTGAACTTGAGGTAGTGATGATGAACTGGTTGGGAAAACTACTTGGATTACCTGAAGAATTTCTAAATTGCTCTGAGGGCAGAGGAGGTGGTGTAATACAAGTAATATATACTATTATATTATTGAACATGATATATGTGTTTTTTAAAAAAATATTAAATTTATCAAATTATCCAGGGCTCAGCCAGTGAAGCCACGCTGGTGGTTTTACTAGCTGCGCGTGAGCACATGGTTCGTTCGATGAAAGCTAATGGTTCTACCTTGTCTGAAGGCGAAATTCGTGCTAAATTGGTGTCTTATAGTTCGGATCAATCAAATTCATCTGTAGAAAAAGCCGGTCTACTATCCGCAGTACCCATGAGACTTTTACCAGCCGATGACCAATGCATATTAAGAGGGCATACTTTAGAAGAAGCAATTAAGGAAGATAAAGCCAAAGGATTAATTCCTTGTTTTCTGGTTGCAACCCTTGGTACAACAGGTACATGTGCATTTGATGCATTAGAAGAACTAGGACCAGTCTGCAAACGCGAAGGAATTTGGATGCATATTGATGCTGCATATGCAGGTACCGCATTTGCGTGCCCTGAATATCGCCACTTAATGAAAGGCATAGAATATGCAGAATCCTTTAATTTCAATCCTCACAAATGGATGATGGTTAATTTCGATTGTTCAGCTATGTGGTTACGAGATTCAGACTTGCTAGTAGATGCATTCAATGTCGATAGAATTTATCTAAAACATGAACATCAAGATCATGCACCAGATTACAGACATTGGCAAATACCATTAGGAAGACGTTTCAGGGCTCTCAAAATCTGGACAGTTTTGCGTTGTTATGGTGTAGAAGGTATAAGAAACCATGTCCGCAACCAAATTGGATTGGCACAGCAATTTGCAAATTTGGTCAAAAGTGACGATCGATTCGAACTACCTTTAGAACCAAGCATGGGTTTAGTTTGTTTCCGATTACGCGGTTCATGTGAACTAACAAAAAAATTGCATGAAGTCCTCATGAAACGCAGAAAAATTTATATGGTAACATGTAAATACCAAGGTTTAATGATTTTACGCTTTGTAATTTGTTCAAGAATGTGTGAAAAACGTGATATTACTTTTGCTTGGGAAGAAATTTTACAAGTTACTAATGATATAATACACACACCTACAATAATCAGTAAGAAACTCTCAGAAGTATCGATATCTAGAGATAAACAAGCTTTTGCTTAGTTTGAAAAACTTGATTCCAAATAGTTAATTATACTCAGATTTAAGTTTTATATTATAATATATGAATGATAAAATAAGAAATATATAAATAAATAAATAAACAAATTTGCAAAGTTTTATTATAATTATTGTTGAAGATAATACTTAGAATAGTACCTATTTATTTCAACTTGACTTCTAATAAGGTTTGAAAGATAAATAATATCTGATCTACTTTAAATTCAATTTTATGCGAAATTAAACATTTACCATTTCATTTCCAATTTGAATCTATCAGCAGTTGGCGCGCTCATAATTCAAAATAATTTTTCTGCTCTGGCAATACTAATAGTTCTTAAAAACGTCAAAGTGTGAAATGTGCTAATAAAATATATAACCTATCAATGTTAATGTATAAATCTTACATTTATTATATTTAATCTCTAATAGAATTATTAGCCATATAGTAGAGCAAATTATGGAACAAAAATAGATATTTGAATTACCATTTGTATTAAGTACCTTGCAATAATGGCCTCTCCCAAATTGCTATTATCCTACTTAAAACTAACTCATTCGTGTAATGTTAAGTAAGTAAAGTCTAAATATCAATCAATAATTTTAATCAATTTTGAATTAACATCATATTCATACAATCTACAGATTTAAACCATTATCCATTGCTACAAGATCTTTTGTGGTAGGCTCCAAAGCATTTTCACAATACGCTTCTTATTTTATTGATCCTGTTTTCAAACCACAAAAACAAAATGAATTAGCCCAAGAAGGTGAGATCCAAAAACTTGCACATGTGCCTATTAAAGCTGCTCGAAATAATGATACTAGCTCTGTATTCCATGATGATCTACTTAGGTATGATATACTTAAATAAATTTAGACAGAGAAATATTGAAAGGAATGAAATATAATTCCTTGTAAACTTTTTTTAGCAAATTTACAAACTATGTTATGAAAGGCGGCCAAAAAGTTTTGGCTAGAAATTTAATAGATGAAGCTTTTGTGAATATTAAAAGAATACAAATTGAAAAATATCACAAGGCTAAAGAAGAAAATAAGAGTAATATAATACTAAATCCAAAAGTGATATTGCATAATGCTATTACAAATTGCAGGCCAGTTTTAACACTTACACCAATCAAAAGAGGAGGTGTTACTTATCAAGTAATATAACCATTACCTAAATATCTACAAATGTAAAATTATTATTAGTTTAAAGTGCTCGATTATTTTTTACATCAGGTTCCTATCCCGATCACTGAGAAGCACTCATATTTTTTGGCTATGAAATGGTTAGTGTCAGCGGCACGTGAAAAGGAAAGAACTGTACATTTTCCTGAAAAATTAGCATATGAGCTAATTGATGCTGCAAATAATACAGGCAGAGTTGTTAAGAAGAAACATGATTTACATAGACAATGTGAAGCCAATCGTGCTTACGCACATTACCGTTGGAGTTAAAATTTGTAATAATTATGTACATAGACTGCAGTTTGCTATATTTTAAGTAAATTAAACAGATAATATAAAAGCTAAATTAAGATAATCTATACTATTTATTAATAGGTTATACAACACCAAAAATTTCTTCAAAGGCATTCACATCATAAATAGCTTGTTTTTTAACAAGTTTTAAACTTTGATTGGTGGAATATCTCTTCAGGTAACTAAATATCCTGTTTGATTTAATTTCAGATCCTGGTATAATATCTGTTACAGGTATTTCAATATTTCTTCGTTCACCCCAATAATCAAGATATGCAACTTTGACTATACTTTTATCGGCATTTAAATGAATTAAACCAACTAAATTTGTTGCAAAGGCTCCAGCGATAGATAAAGTAATGCAACCAGTTATTCCTAAAAACACAATTTATTTCACATGATCTATTTTTAAATATATTGACTTTTTATTGAATTTATGCTTACCTACTGAAGAAATTACATATAAATGATCTAGTGAAACAAAATTCAATTGTTGCAATATGGCACATCCAGGGATACTAACCATTGTTACTATACCTTGCAGTATTTTTAATTTATTAAGTACTGTTGCATGTCTTATAAAAGGTAATTTATAAATAAGTTCAAAATCTTCATTTGATTCTTTTGGTAAATTTTGTGTCTTTATTGTTCTACTTATTTGCAAACTTCCTATTGAGGAAATGTTGCTATTGATCAAAGCTCTTGAAGCAAATGCTTTAAGCATTTTTCTCAAATAAATCTGTGGAGAAATTTTGATAAAATACGTGTACTAAATGAACTTTTATATACTATGTTTATTACGTTGGAAAGTGTGTTCTAATTTTAAATTTGCCACTCTCGAATTGCTCAAAATTGGCAATCTATGAATTACTGCAGAAATTTAGTAATGAATGTCATGTCTATATTAAAATGTTCTGTGGATATGGATAGTTGTCAACTCGTGGTGTGAGTTTTTGGTTATGTGAAAAAATATAAAAAACAATTGAAATAATAATAAAAGGATAAAGGATTTATCAAATTAATTATGGGAGTAAAGAATAAACTAAAAGAAATGTAAGTACACTATTTTTAATTATTATTTACCTGGTTTATTTTCTTAGATACACTCCGTGCTTAATCAATCACACTGTATTCTTATATTTTGAGGTTGTAAGGTTGCTCGTTCTTTGGCGCCCGTTTTGAATATAATTTCATATTATGTATTTGTATCCCCAATGCCTTTTATTTCAGATTTGAAGTAGAAAGCACCCATGGGGCGTTTTACACAGGAGGCAATGTTATATTATCTAAAAATGGCCTAGAATTATTATGTCAAAAAGAATTTACTGTTGAAATATTAAATTTATCACAAGGAAATGTTGTTAATAGCATTGGTAATGTAGAAGATGAAGATTCTATAAATACATTCACATATAGTGTATTTGATGAGTCTGTAATAACTTCTCACAAAAGCGGTTTATTTAAAAAATGGACGAAGGATGGCATTTTATTAAAAACTTGGAAATCTATTCATAAAGGTCCTGTAAGTAAACTTTGTATAAATGATGATGGTAATATTTTGGCTAGCGGTGGCTCAGATTCTAGTGTAAGATTATGGGACTTAAAACATCAAACATGCACACATAACCTTCGGGGACTACAAGGTGTTGTTAGCGTTTTAGCTTTCCATCCCAATTCTGAAAAAAATTTGATATATGCAGCTGCAGACAATACCAAAATCTTAGCATGGGATTTAACAAGTGGCGATGAAATGATGCACTTTGCTGGTCATTTCAGCAAAGTCACATCAATAAACTTCACAGCCGATCATAATTATATAGTTAGTACAGGAAGAGACAAAGTCATAATTGTTTGGGACGCAAATACTGGTAAATTGATTAGAACTGTTCCTGTTTTCGAGAGTATTGAATGTGCTGTTGTGTTAAGTAATGATGTCAAAATTCCTGGCTACCAAAAATGGAAAAATGATGAAATTTTGGTTCTTATTGCTGGAGAGAAAGGCGTGGTGAGGATATGGGATGCTTCGAAACCTAAGGAATTATATATTCAAGACAATAGTTTAGTAACGCCAGCATCTGAAGAAGGAGGATTAAGCATAACCCAAGTGTTTTTTAATGAAAAAACTAAACATATTGGCATAGTTACTGTTGATCATAACATCTTGATTCATAAGTTATCAACATTTAAATGTACAAAACAAATAATTGGTTTCTCCGATGAGGTTTTAGATATAGTTTTTATAGGTACTGAAGATTCACATGTCGCAGTAGCAACAAACAGTGTTGATATCAAATTGTATGAAATATCAACCATGAGTTGTAATTTATTGAAGGGACACACAGATTTAGTATTATCATTAGCAAAATCACCTTCAAATTCAAATATCTTATTATCATCCTCAAAGGATAATACAATTCGAGTTTGGTCAATTAATACTGAAGAAAGCATTTATAAATGTTTTGCAATAGGTTCAAGGCATACAGCATCAGTCGGTTCTTTAGCAATAACTAATTTGAGCACAGACTTCTGTGTTTCTGTAAGTGAAGATTCTTGTTTGAAGTTTTGGAAACTGGATACTAATAATATTGGGGATGAGATACAACAGTTACATTGCAGTTATACAGAATTGGCACATCAAAAAGATATAAATTGTGTTACTGTATCACCAAATGATAAAATGATTGCTACTGCATCTCAAGATAAAACAGCTAAATTGTGGTCCTCTGATGGTTTAGCTTTGCTTGGTGTTTTCCGAGGTCACAAACGAGGTATTTGGTCTGCTCGATTTTCACCAGTAGATCAAGTATTACTTACTACTTCTGCTGATTGTACAATTAAAATTTGGTCTTTGTCTGAATTGAATTGTCTTAGAACCTTAGAAGGCCATGATAGTTCTGTTTTAAGAGGTGAGTTTTTATCAAAAGGAATGCAGATAATAACGACAGGAGCTGATGGTTTGATTAAACTTTGGAGCTTGAAAACAGCTGAATGTAACCATACAATGGAAAAACATGATGGCAGAGTTTGGGCTATTGCTGTTTCAAAAGATGAAAATACTCTGATAAGCGGAGGCTCAGATTCTTTACTTGTTAAATGGAAAGATGTAACTGTTGAGAAGAAGGAGCGAGAAGCAAAACTACTACAAGAAAAAGCTTTACAAGAACAAACATTGTCAAATCTATTACATGACAAACAGTTATTAAAAGCATTAAAATTAGCTATAAGATTAGACAGGCCCTTAGGTGTTTTGAAGATCATTAATTTGATCATTAAAAGTGAAGATAAAAATGAATTAGCTACTACACTAAAACAGCTAAAGAATCTTCAAAAAGAAAAATTATTTAAATATGCTTCATTGTGGAATACAAATAGTAAAAATTGTCATGTTGCGCAATTAGTAATAAATATTTTATTAGATGATATACAAAGCGGAGAATTCAAACCTGCAGGTCTTGCATCATTGCTCGAAGGTACAATACCTTATACGGAGAGACATTTTCATAGATTGACACAGTTATTGCAAGATTTACACTTTGTTAAATATACAATTAATTGCATGCAACCACATGCAAAGGAAGTAAAGATGGATTGAAAAGAAATAAATAATATTGAAGCTATGATTTTGTTTTAATCAATTATAATAGTTTATAATGCCAGTTATTCATAAACAAACTTCTTCAAATTGATTGCAGGATCTTCACATTTGATATATATTATTTTTTACAATTTTAGCTGACGGTGTTGATTTTTTGCAAAGCTCATATGGATTCTTTTTGGATATCCCACAATTTCTGTTCCTTTCCCTCTGAAAAATTCAAGAGGCAATAATATATTATATTCTAATTTGAAAAAGAATCAGTCATCTGACTTACCTCAAAAACTTGATATCAATATTTCTAGTTGCATGCATAACTGTGAGCACGAATATGATAGCAAAACTGTAATCCAACATGCAAGCCAGAATTTTGCTTCCATGTTTTACCATCATTGAATCATCTCTTACCATCCTACATTCGACTAAAACGTAGTAACTTATAATTTTTGGTAATCTTTTGAATAGGAAGCGCTCAAGTGAATTCCAAACTAAACCCATTAATATTTCAATTCCAAATTTGCAAAATACAAACTGAAAAATATCGTTATTTGTGTTATGGAATTATTGGATGTATTCTTGTCTTTTGTTACTTACCTCTATAATTTTGATCAACACTTTATTAATTTTTCTAAATTGTCTTGGGTAAATTATAGTGTCACAAAATAACACATACAACCCATAAAGAAATATATACGATGGTAATAGTGGCGCATCGTATACTATAGGCGATAAATCCGCTGGTATGAAAAAATTATATCTTAGAAATTCAAATATTGCTGCTATTAAAACGGCTGATTTTGACGCCATGGTAATTAAAATATACTCAATTTAAACCTTAATTTAGACTATTTGACAACAAAACAATTGAATCATACTTGATTTGATTAAAGGTATTTAAAAAAAAAACAAAAATTTATTTTTTGACGCAAACGATTGCTGGATCATTTGTCGAATGGAGTAACTCCGGTGCGCAGTTTTCAACTTCCTGAAAAAGTTATGCTTTTGCCAGAAAATCCGACTTGATAATTTTATATTTTCTCGGCGTTTGAAGTCATTCTGAATCGACGAAAACAAAAAGTGGAAAATCGGCTGTCCAATTTCAAAAATTTCTGAATTTTTTGATAAATCTCGCTAAGGTCTAGTTGGTTCATTGATTAGTTTTTCGAGACGTTCGGCAGAGCCATTTCTTAAGAATTAGCAGAGAAGCGCAAAAATATTCGTCCAAAAATCCTAAACTGACTTTGGAAATTAATACTGTTGGATAGACATCATTTGGTAACCGTGCAGATTGTGTAAAATCGATCGAAAAATAAATAGTTGAAGGCTTTATCTAAAGAGCTCAATTAGCTCTATTTTTTAAGTTCATGCATCTTGCTTTGAGGCAAAATGCCACTTAAAATTAGTTTTTGCACTTCAGAATAAAATTTTGATTTTTGTTTTGAAAACTCTTTGTTTTATTTCTGAAATGTTAAAATCTACTGCCAATTAAATAATTGTGAGAAAAACGCATATGAAAATCATATAAAGCATTGAACATAGGCAGGATCATTATCAAATCTATATTTCGTACTTTGTTAAATTTTTATGGTTAAATGGTATTATCTATTATTACTAAATCAATTTTTAGTACCAAACAAAATTATTTTACCGGTTCGATTATTTTATCGGTTACTTTTAGTGTTAAATCCACGAGGAATATCACATCGATCTGAAACTTGTTCACCTTCATTTTACGCGGAAAATCGTGCGTATTTTATGCATTACTATTGCTTCAGTCGATTATTGATTCATTGAGATATTTTTTAATTTGTATTATGCTAATTAGATGCGTGATAATTGCGTTAATAATGCAATCTTATATCTTATGCGTGATTACGCAAAATATATATTATAATATATATGTTCTGTTGATTGAAAAAAATGTGGATGCATGAAATATATTCATAAATGTCTATAAAATTGAGACATTAATTATGAAATATATTTGAAATATTTTAGATAAATTTGGCATTGTTTGTTTTTATTCGGGAAGGAAAAGTTCGTGGGTTCGCCAGAAAATTCGGCCAACTAATTTTGTTTCCTCAACGTTTCAAGAAGTTCTGAATTGGAAAAATGTGTAGGTGTATGTGTGCCGAAATTTTACTTTGACTGTTTGTCAACGTTTATGCAAACACACATACTGTTCAAAATATTGGTGACAAATTTTTCAGAATGGCTTAAAACGTCGATAAACCATTAAATAATTATCAACTTGTATTTTCTGGGCGAAAGCATAATAATCCGAGAAATGAATAAATACACGTAATAATATCAGAGATCTTTTATTAAAGTATATTTTGAAAGAAAAGTTCCAAAATATTATTATTAAAATATTATTGTATACCATTTATTGCTCCTAAGTCGAGAGCAACATGGATTATATAATAGATATTATTATACTGAATGTAGTTTCCTGTATCTATATCAATATTGCCAAGATTAATTACTCCTATAGAAATTGTGTGTATATATATATATATATATATATATATATATATATATAAGATCCGAAGATAATGCAATTCACTACTAACTAAATCAAGTTAAGAGATTCATGTCGTTCCTATAGCAACAGAGTTCTACGCAACAAGTGTCTTGTATAATGCTCCTATACTCCCCATTTCTTCGCAATCAGCGTTTATTCAACTTTTCTATTGAAAAATAATTCTTTTCATAACTTTTCATCATTTTGCATCTATCTGAACAATTTGTTACAAACATTTCCTTGTGAAGTACCAAAAATGTTAAAAAAGAGGGATGATCAATAAATATTGGATATCGACTTTGATGATGAAGCAAAAAGTACGAATTAATTATCGACAACATTGAATTGGATCTTTAATCTATATATTTGAAGTAAAACTTTTTTAGGCGCAACTATTGTGTAAATCCGTACAAATGCAACGGAAATAGCGTTACGCCCGAACTGTACGTCATTCACTCTCGATGAAATCATTTCAAAGTTTTTTTTATTAATCGATAATTAATAATAATTTTCTTTATTACCAGTACAATACAAGCATTTGATATGTGTTTAGAAAATATTTGTTTCTTAACCACATTGAGTTTTGGTTCATTTTAGTAAGTTTTATTTCAAAATCATAATATTTACCTAATATTTCACAAATAGAATTGGTCTAAAAATATGTATTGGTTTTCTGAATAAAAATCAGTGTTTTGGGAATAATATTTCATTTAAAGTTTGAGAGGATATGGGGATGGTACGTGCTTTAAAACTTTTGCAAAGTTTGCTAAAATTGCTTTGCTTTTCTTCATATTTCTTTCTCCAAGTAGTTCAATAATATATACATATATATATATATATATATATATATATATATATATATATATATATATATATATTAAAAATTAAATAAAATTTTCATTGAAAATATGTTGGGACATAAGAATCTAAAAAAAAGTTGCTTGATACTCTATAATAATTGCAAAGATGATTTCTTTTTAAAAAATTAAGTTTATTATAGTACACATTATGTAGTCACATATAGAACTTACAACATTTGAGATTTTGCCTTAAGGCAGTTTGCCAAAAAATCAAAATATGTAAACAATCGAATAATTAATACGAATAGAGATTTAGAGACTTAAAATTGTAACGATAGAAGTCTAGAATTTTTACATAACTCAATATTTCAAACGTGATTGAATTTTTAAATTAAAGCACCTTTTGCAAGCTCAAAAAGTTTCTTTTTTTATCAAGACCAGGCATTCTGTTATACCAAGTTTTAGTAACATTATCAAAAAATTTACAATTAATTACGAAGAAAAGGCCCTGACGTTCTTTACCAAAAACTATCTTAACTTAAGCACATTTTGAACAGTTTTTGAAGTTTCAAAATCGGTCCAATAAAAAATTGAAAAATAATAAATACACTATTCAAGTTATTATTTAAAATATTTTCTCTTCTAATAAAATCTAATACCAATATTTTGTTACTCTATTTTTTTACAACTGTCCAGTTAAGGGCATTTAGTAAATTTGGGAAATTTCCAATTGTCAGTAAATATAATAATAAATTTAATAATAAATTAATCTATCTTATATCTTGAACTAAATCATGTTTCTAAACTTTTCTTTGATGCTTCAAACTGCAATATTCATCAAAATTTTCATAAAATAATCTACAGAAATAATATAAAGTAAGGCAAACCTAACATTTTAAAACTAAATTAATTTTCAATTCAATTTATTTGGATATTTATGCCTCCTTAAAAGCGAGAAATTACTACTATCCTAACTTAAGCACATTTTGGACAGTTTTTGAAGTTTCAAAATCGGTTCAATAAAAATTAAAAAATGATAAATACACTATTCATATTATTAATAAAAATATATTTTGTCTTCTAATAAAATCGAATACCAAATAATTTTCTTTTCTCTATTTTATTTACAACTGTCCAGTTAAGGACATTTAGTAAATTTGGGTAATTTACAATTGTCAGTAAATATAATAATAAATTTAATAACAGTTTTCGTTTCTGGATTTCCTGATGTTTCTATGTGTTCTACGTATATAGGCTAAGCTTTTGCTTTATACTAACAAGCGTAATGGTTCTTTTGTGTAGTGGCTGAACGTCCGGCTACGCAGTCATTCTGCTACGTCATTTCAAATGAATAAGTCGATGGGGTGAGATGGCGAGATTCACGACTTTAAGTGTTCATGAATCACAGATGAAAGCTTCTACGAGTTTTAGACAGGGTGTCTCAGAATTATTTCGTCACACCATAGTAGATGAAATTTATTAAATTCCTATTTATTATTTATTTTCTATTCTAAATTGCAATACATGTCTGTCAATGAGATTCACGACTTTAAAAGCTCAGGAGTCATAGATGAAAGCTTCTACGAGTTAGGCAGGGTGGCTTGGAATTATTTGGTGATGAAATTGATAAAATCCTTATTTATTTTGTTCTAAATTACGATACCTGTTGATCAATATTTTTTTAGTATA